TGCTTATCTACATATTCCCATCTCCCAAGAATTCTAACATTTCCTTTGTTTTGTTGTCAGAGGCATTTTGGGCCCTACCATTTGGCCTGGCCTCAGCTCCTTATGCCTTCTGTTGAGTAATCAGGTCATTTGCTCCATGCTTTATGCCAGAAGCTTTCATTTCCACCATTACATGAATGATTGGCTTCCTCCTAGGCTGAATCTGCTGTTCACCCTCAGTTTCTTCTTCAAGAGGCTGACAGAATGAGTTGACTCTTCAAGGTGAAGTCATTTCTCACACCCACACAATATCTGATTCATCTGGGTGTTTGTCAATTCTCTGATCAGTTGGGCTCAGCTTTCTCCCCTTTGTTTACGGGATATGATATGTCTTATTTCCAGTCTATTGGTCTCTCCCTCTTCCACTGCACACGAGACCCTATCTCATTTGGGGAGTGGGTTTCTCTCAAAGTCCTCATTCTCCTTGGTCACAACTATATGTGTCACCTTCAGTGGGTGTTACTAGACCAATGGAACCTCATTTGGGATCTCTTAGATGCTCCTAAGGTGTTTCAGAAATTGTGTACTCATTTTGGTTTTCCAGATGTGGATGCTCTTGCCACACATCTCAATGCACAACCTGTTTTTGATATTCCATTCCTCATCCTTTGGCAGAAGTTGTAGATGCTCTCTGTCAATACTGGACACTCACCATCACAGTAACCAATTACTTGAGAATTTTGGTTGTTGTTTTGGAAATGCCCGATGAGTTGCAGAAATTAACCAATGAAGTGTCAGAACCACTTACGGGTAGTTAGGAATACTACTTGGAAGTTCGTAAGGATTCCTGTATGCATATTCTCCTATTCATCTTCTTTCCAAAGTCCTTTCATTGATTCAGACCACACCATATCATGTGCTCCTTGTGGCTCCAATTTGGCCTGCTTATATGTGGTTTCCACTTCTATGCAGACTTTAGGCATCACCTCCTCTTCCTTTGCCATTGTCTCCCACACTCATTCATCTCCCTTAATCAGGTGTGCGTTATCCATCCATTCCTGCCCTTGGCTTCACATGTTGCTTTTGTCCAGTCCCTCAACAGACAACCCAGATTTTCCAGGTGTGTTGCCCCATTGATTGCCCATCCTATACAATGTTCCTCCTTGGCAGTTTATCAGTGTAAATGGTATATTTTCCACTGCTGGTCACTCTGCTGGGTATATCGTCCTTCACAACTGAAGCAAATGGATGTTTTTAAGTAAATTTTTACAATTGCTACATTATATTTTTGTTTTTAGTAACAAGAGAGTTTAAGAAAAAACTAAAAATATTTAGGTTTCTAGGTGTGATACACATAGATGAAGAAATGGCATAAGTAAGGATACCAGTATTGCAAAATTAGGTCAAGAACTAGGCTAAGCATAGTTAGCTAGTTGTTAATTTGTATTGAGAATCATGAGTAAAGAGTTATAAAAAGCAGTCCAGTAAAGATGCTAGTCACGAGTTGACAGTGATAAGTTATTGACACCGATCTAGCAGTACAGTAAAGACTACTAAAAAGTTTATGATAGCATCTAAAATTGGCACTTTGATGTAGGATTTTTTACTACAGCCTGGTGTAGTAGTATAAGTAAGAAGGTAACCGAGACACTCACCATCACAGTAACCAATTACTTGAGAATTTTGGTTCTTGTTTTGGAAATGCTCGATGAGTTGCAGAAATTAACCAATGAAGTGTCAGAACCACTTACGGGTAGTTAGGAATACTACTTGGAAGTTCGTAAGGATGCAGAGAAAATACAGTGTAAAAACTCATGTCTAGAACTGAAAATTAGTTCTCTCAGGGTTGATAACAGTTCTCCAGCTCAGAACAGTAGACCTTGACCACCATGAATATAACGGTATCTAATCTACAGCGATAAACCAGCTCAACTTTGATGTAACTAAAATTGCTATTTCTTTTGTTCAATCAATGTGGTTTTGGATAAGATAGTAAAGTAATCATATGAAGGAAATTAACAGAGTGAAATATCTCATATGTGAGTGGTATTTATCAATGCTGTTTAACAGAAAGTGGTTTATTATGAATTAACAGATGATTAAAATTTTTAACTGTTGATATTAAAAGGTGTATATTATGTGTAAGAACTTGAATAAACTTGATGTATTTTGTTCAATATCAGTCTCAGAATCTGTTTTTTTAGTCTAACCGTAAATCTCCTCAAGTTAATGACTTGTGAGCCACACTCGCCACTGCATTCCTCAATTAGGTAAATTCGGTGTAATCAGCAGTACAGTCGAAGCTTCAACGACTAGCCCTAAGGCACTGCCCATTACACAACTTTCCCTACTACAGTTGACTGCATTTTTCACTTATCTCTTTATCACTTTATTTACAGGGGCCTTTTTTCTAGTGTGGATCCCACTCTGTGGTGAGTGGTGCCTGACCAAGTACCTTTTTTTTTTTTAAATCTGCACTGTCCATCCTGTGACGAGGATCAATTTCAATTACATTGTAACTCTTCCTACTTTGGACTTGACATACAATTTCAGATGCTGCCAAGTGTTGGTTGTGTGTCTCCGATCAATTGTCATCTGTGCTAAATCAATTACATCATAGGATTGGATCATACACACTGTCAATATGGGGTGTTCTGTAGGACAACTAGTGGTTCTTTTGCTTCATAAATATGTTTGTCCCAGATCATACACTCATGGACAATCATGAGTAAAGCAGACAGGGATTGCTGATGCTCTGTGGTGTTGAGACTCTACCATAGACATGACATACAATTCCAGATGCTGCCAGGAGTGAGTTATTCGATTCTGTCGATGTGGTAGCTCTGCTTTTCAAAATAGGGTATTGTAGTCACCCGTAGTACTGTCTCATGGAGGCCTGTCCTCCTGAGTGATGCTTCATACCACTCAGTTGAGAGTAGAGCTGTGGCATTCTGCAGGTGTCAATGGCGTAAAGTGCTTTCTAGCATGGACCTGATGTACAATTCCAGATGCTGCCAGGTTTTGGTCTCAAGCTGAGATGTTCCTCCTACCTACCATCATTTGGATGCAGTTCCCAGGATGTCAGGTGTTGGTTGGAGATGGTCCAGTTAAGTAAGCTCTCACATATGTTCTGGCCGGTATCCCTCCTCCTACCTCAGACTGGATAAAAATTGCTCAGTGCCACTAGATTTTGGACAAAGAAGCACCCCAGGTTTATGTTTCCTTTTCCTACCATCTGCTGGATATCAGTTCCCAGCAAATCTGGTGTTGGTCTTAGCTGGATGCAGCACATGTATTCCTGCTTGGGTACAGTCAAGTATCCTCCTTCTACAACAGACTGAAAGAAACATACCCAATGCTTCCTTGGTTTTGGACTGTGAATGTCCTCCCAATGGGGCTTTCCACCTACCCACAATCTGCTGGATATCCGTTAGTGGTGGATCGGGTGTTGGTTGAGTTGGAAATGTGCACAAGTGGAGACGTATTTTGATATGGAAGTTTTTATTCCCTATCAATTCCCGTTTCGAGGTGAAGAGGTAGGTGATCCTCTGCCTACTATGGAAATAATGTAATATTCCATATGCCGCCAGGTTTTGGGTGAGGTTGAACTACCACTGTGGTCTGTCGTGCCCTACCCACTTGTCACCCAGGGTTCCCAGTAATACATATTATGGGATTCCTTCATGTTTTTCCATCTTTTATGTCTGTGACACAGTCATAAAAGAACAAAGAGTATACCTGGATCAGATTTGGTGCAGTATCTCATTGTCGTGGTATATTTTCTTTTGTGGTTCCACTACTCGTGGTTTCTCTTTGGGTGCTTCCTGAAGGATAATTTTTTCACCGGCCCTCCACCAGCTCAATGTAGGATTCTAGTTATTTTGTGAGAAGAGGTAAGATATTGCATCGGAAGTTAACATTTTTATAAAATAAAAATGTATTTATTATTGATACTTATCTCCTCTCAAATTTCCACCCAGCCTCCCCACTACCGGTGATGTGTGGTGTAGGTACTATGACCAATGTTGAAGTGATTAACGAGTGCAAATGTGGAGAGGGTGCTGGTTATGATAGGGATTGTGTCACACTCCTATTGGTGAAGAGCTGTTGCATAATCATTTACATGTGGATATGCAGAAGCGGGAGATGGTAGGCTAGTGACAAACTTTGAAAATTTGTGCAGAGAGTGAGGGCAGTACTAATCAAGAAAAGCTATTTTGTGAAGTAAGTATCTATCAGAAATACATTTTCAGCATAGGAAAGTGTTAACTTTCTGTGGACAAAATACTTGTAATGCTTACTAAAAGTTTGTCAAATTTCGTGAAGGTACACATTATAAGTTACATGATGGTTGCAGGTTGGTAAAAATGACCAAATCCATATAGAAATGGTTGATTAAAACATATTGCAAGCCAATAAAAATTATAACTAGTGGATAAACATTTTTTTTTTATCATCTATATTAACTGTTTATATATAATATGATTGATAACTAAATTTGTACTAGCTACGCAGTGAGCACATACTAAATGTTTTGAAAAACTACACTTTTGTTTGTGATAGTTAGTGATGATTAATAAAGATATCTGGTAATAATTGGTGATGTATCTTAGCATCATTAACTTAGAGTACTTTTATTTATTAAAATATACATTAATACTTAAAAAATGTTGGTATTTTTAACTCCCCCTTCAGTTGTAAGGTCATATTTTATAATTTTTGCAAATAAAAGCTAACAACTGGTATATATATACATTTGAAGAAAAGTGTACATTACTAATTATAATAAGTTTACCATATAATTGCTTGGTATATGCAAACATTTCTTAATAGTGGTGATGACTGTTTTAGTAAATACATATTGTGTGGTCTTTTGTAAGAAGTGTTATGTCTGTACACTGATTTGTGATGCTCAATATTGCTTTTGTATTTTCACTTATGAAAGTGGAGTGAATTGGTTATATCTTGTGAGATGTTCCATTTTGGTTTTTTAAAAAGGATGCATATACATTGTGTTGCAGATAAAGTTTGACAGACCTGAATTTCAGACAGAAAGTTTTGTATATCCTGCTGGCTACTGCAGTTCTCGTTCTTATGCAAGTATGAAGAATCCTCATGTACGCACTTCATACACTTGCACTGTAACAGATGATGGAAAAGCTCCTAAGGTTGGTGGCTACTATAAAATTACTTCAACACTGGTGAAAAAATATTATGACCCAATTGGAATATTGTCTTATATGCAACTGATAGTTTGTATTTTATTATAAGACCATGTAATCGGTTAAAAGTAATAATAAATATTTAAAAATTATATTATTTATTGCATATGCAGAGTACATATTGCTATAAGTCTGTACCAATTTAAAATTTATGAAAGTTTGATAAATATTCATATCACACTGAAGAATTACAAAAACTGTTTATGTGTCTACTAATAAGTTCTTTTATAAATCAACAGTGCATTGACAGCATGCACTATTCAATGAAATCAATCAAGTTATGATTTTACTCAAATACTGATCTGAATGTAACTGTACTACCAGTATATCAACATCTGCATAAAGAAGAAGTATAGTATAATCTGTCAGAAGGAAAAACAAGTTCAGTATGATACTTTCAAGGTTATTGTTCCACATAGACAGCTTCAGTAAAAGAGAAATCATTTAACAGGCTTTTACAGTTTTGTTCATAAATAAATTAATAACTTGTTTGTTTGCTGGATATTAATGGTTAATTAGTTGTCACATTATTCAGACATCTAAAGTAGTTTAGATTATTAGTGATGAGTAAATGACTGTACATTTAAACCAAACTGCTTAAATTCTACCACTGAAAGAAGCTTCTGTCCATATTTATTTGCTTTATTCTTCTAAGTAGTACTGATGAGCCATGAATTTTTCAAAATCTGTGGCAGTGGAAGAAGCGAATCAAAGAATGAATTAGACCTCTACTCATCATTTCTTCACTGAAAATCAGTCTTTTGTCTTATTACAAAGTTTATTAGCATTTGTCTGTTTCCTCTGAGTACCAAAAACGTTATTTAAAACCTATTCCAGTTTTTCTTAATACCTGTAAATAAGGAAGAATAGGTTCTTTTTAGGTCTTATGTGACATTTTTCACTCGTTAAGTTTTTTCTGTAATTATTTTTCCTTCTGGTAAACAAATATTCTTATTGATTCTCTTTTTCTATTCAGTTTTTTTAAAATGATTTCAAGTCCAATATTGTTTGTCTTGTTTAACTCAAGCTGAGTGAAAGAGTGATAGTTGAAAGACTGATTGAGTATGAAAGAGGAAATGTTAATTAGGCTCTTCCAAACCACATACATTAATTCTCAAGCTTAGGTATTGTTCTTTCAAATATAAAGAAACAGGAAAAAAAAAATATTAACTTCTCACCATAAATTTTAATATTAGTTTTATTTCATATTTTCAACTTTTCATTTCACTGTAAATTAATGATTCCTGGACAGTTAGTGTTAGGGTAGAGAAAACAAAAGATGATTTATAAAGCTTTACCAATGAAAACTTGATATTCATTTAGGAAGCACTAGAAGTCATACAAATAAAATATGAAACTGTATAATGAAAATAAGTATTTTTATTCTTAACATGCTTTATTAAAAAATCAGTTTTTGTTGTTGTATATATATATGTGTGTGTGTAAACAGACCTTTAATATTTAGTAAAAGCTTGTCAACTTGTAAAGTTATATGTAGTAAATTCAGAATTATGTATAGTTTCACAATTCCAAGGTTGGTTATACTGACTAACTTCGTTCTTATTTGGGTTAGTACTAAAACAGTTTCTACAAAAAATAAATAACCTGCTGATTATAATTGAGACTGGTGTATAGAATGATAACAAATGAAATTTATAAGGAAGAAAATTAAGATAATTTTAAGTAGAAGATTCTAGCTTGTGTAATTTTGTAGATTTTTAGGATAATTTGTTTTTGTGAAAAGGACAAATAATGACCATTTTTCACTTTCATTAGCTTGGAAGATAATATTTGACTAACGTAACAAAATCAGTGATTTATAGATTGAATGTTTTCTTGTTTTTATTAGTTCCAGATAATTGCAGAAGATTTGCCTGATCATCCTCTGGTGGGAACAACTCCAAGTGAATGTCACAACCAACTGCTAATGGCTATAAACAAAACATGGTGAATAATTTTGTTTTATTTAGTAGTATTCCTTTAATATATTTACCAAAAAAAAATTGAAACATAGCTTATGGAAAATATGTAAAAAGTTACAGATGTCAGCACATGTCCAGCATTAAAAACGAAATTATAGTGTAAAATTGTTAGAATTATTTGTTGTTATACAATAACCCTTTCACCCCGGGCAGGTTAACATGCACATGTCACAACATTTTGGAGAGTTCTTTTCAAAATTTCATGAAATAACTTATGTCAATGAAATTGGCATGTAAACATAGTTTATAATTGAAATTGTAATATTTGTATGTTTTAATTTCTTAATTTTCAAGAGCAAATGCTAGATATATATTTTTGTGTGTCACATAACACATCCTCTTGTCTTATTGCTTAATATACATTTTATTACGCCTACCATACAATGTGTACAGTGGCTAATGAATTAGAAACTTGGATTTGAGATATGGACAAGCTAAATATTAAATAAGAATCTCCCACCTCTATGATTTTGTGAGATGTCAATATTTTTAGCAAATCTAGGAGAGTGACTCCTCCCATTACTCGAATCGTTTGAAACCTTTTGTCTAGCCCCACCTACTACTAAGTAGTGCATGCTTATAACCAATAGAAAGAGCAGTTTCCCTTCTACATAAATCTGACAGTCGTTTGTAAATAGCTTGAAGGAAAAAGTAATAATTTTGCCAAAACTGTTGAAGTGTAATGACTAAGTAGTTGCTCTGAATAGCAATGGGACTTTTGTAATCCACATATAGCTTATTCTGAGACCCAGATAAATTACAGGGATTTTGTGTGTACTAATAGAGTAACTTGATTGAAGCCAACAAAAATTAATATATCTTCACCCTCGACTTGGAAGAATACATTAAGCTTATGTGATGCACTAATGCAACATTTTGTAACACCGTAAATACTTGAAATCTTTGTTTTTCAGTGTATTGTTTATTTATTGTTCTATGTTTTAAGAAAAATAACTAAACGTTATGTATGGTAGCCATAATATCACTATATTTTGTAATATACTTCAATTACAGCTAGAGATTTGTATTTTGTAGGTCAGTACATAGTTATGCCTACTGAATTTGTGTTATTCTAATTATCTAAACTCGGGTAAAATAAAAGCAAATCATACAACATTAGAAACTTGACAACTTGACAACAGATTTATTCATAAAGTTTAGAAAGGTAAAATATTTTATAAATGTTGGGAAGTAATGTTATGCACAAATGTTCATACATGTCTAAAAGGAATAGTGTACATACAAATTGCATGAATCAAAAACAAATACATAAAGTTGTGCACAGAAAACTGTAGGAATGAATGGAAATTTATATAGATGTGTATTTTAATACAAACGTTTTGGAAAATTGCAAAAGTCATACTTATGATAGCATATATCAAAAAACAATGTAAAACTGAAACATTGCTGTACATTCAAATACAAACAAACAAAAATGCTACTAAGATATTTATTAAAATAAAAAAACTAATTGTAAACAAAGGAAAAGAGCAGACACTTTTACCTTGTACATATACATAACATCTTAACTTCTTTGAAGAGCATCACTAGTGTGATGCTCTTGAAAGTGCTTCATACAAAGTAATTCATCACAAAGTGTACACTTTGTAAGTGCTCTGAGAGACATAGTCTACTTCTGTTTCTATTGCCTTTGTTAACAAGTATAGTGAAATGCCTGCCAAGAGTGAGTCTCAGAGGTGATGAGTCCTGTACAATTCTTGAAAGTAGTATACCAGAGGACCTGATCTGTTTTAAAGTAGAGGCTCAACAAGAGCTGTGACCTGGTCCATTTTGAAGGCCTTTTGGGATAATGCTAACTGATTGGTCTGTTGTTTTTACAGAATGTAATTGTGATGTAAGTTAGTATGGATAGCTAAAAACCTGTCCCTAGAGAAGAACCAAGGAGTATGGAAAGGAAGATAGGTAGACCAGTAGTCGGAAAGAGAGAGGGATAAGGCTTGAGTCCCATAGCTATTTTTAATCCAAAATCTGCTAAAGTATCTTCACATCAGTCCATTTTTCTTTTTTTCCTTTGAGGTTCACCTTCCTGCTGTGATTTAAAGTTTCAATAGTGAACGAAATTTTAAAGAAATCAATAACTGTATTTGTAGAGATTATCCGTCAGGACACAGGTTCACCTCTGTTGAATGGAAGTACATGGGGAGGTTCCTTTTCAGGTCCAAGTGTAACTCAGGTGAGAGGCCTCTCCTGCTGGGAAGGAGCAGTCCAAGTAGATACTGTAGCTCCATCCCCTCCCTTACTTCTCTTAGTCCTGCATCTTCTCTGTGGTGATGGTGGTGTAGGTACTTTAGTGACGTAAATGACACAACTTTGCAGAGAGAAGATCATCATATGTATCTGTGTGTGTGTGTGTGTATATATATATGTATGTATGTATGTATGTATCTTTGTGTATATACATATATATATATATATATATATGTATTTGTTATCTTTAGTAAAGGTTGCTTATTAAGTCAATAACGGAAAATGAAGAGAAATATATAACACACGCTTAATAACAAATAAATTTCAAATACATATAACACATCGACCAATACGATACTTAATCAATAAATAGATATTATATATTTAAAGGTATGTATTAAGTACATATTATTATATAAGGAACTGACATGGATTTAGAGTATGAAGAAATTACAGATAATGTTTCAGTCTTAGATTATTTTCCGATAATTTAGCATTCAGTATAGCTTTCTAGTAATAATAATAAAATGAATTGCAAGATAATAAAATGAATTTCGCAAGCAAATAAAGGCCTGGCGAATGTGTTTTAAAAGCAACATAACAATATTTATTGATTTTGTAAGGTTTCTAGTATCAGCACAATTCACAGTGTTTCTAGCGCTATAATTGGCTAGCTTTGAAGTTAATGCTGTAAACTGTTGGTTGTTGGAGAAAGGAATAGCATGCTTAAATGAGATAAAGACTGGAAAAATTGTGTGAATATCACAATTTTGGTCAGACCAGAGTCCTAGTGCAATATTTTACATTTATAAATTACCTGCATGAGAGCTCATTCTTAAATCATACTTGGGTATGGACGGCATCCTACAGGGAAAGACAATACAGGAGTCCAAACAGGCAAGCGTAGGCTCTCTGAAATGACCACCGTATCATGTAATCTTTTCCTTTTTTGATGGCTCAAGGAAGTCCACGACTACCTATAACTTGTTTATACACGCAGGAATAAGCACAATGTAATAAAGATGTAATCTTATTCTAGTAGCCCCCCCCCAGTGGTACAGCGGTATGTCTGTGGACTTTTACTGCTAAACACTCGATGTTAATACCTGTGGTGGACAGAGCACAGATAGCCCTTTGTGTAGCTTTGTGCTTCATAACAAACACCAACACCTTGTTCTAGAAAGGTAAAATCTGACAGCTTTCGATTTTCCATATCACAAAAGATTCAAACTGTAGCAAGAGTAAAATGGGTATGACAAAAATAATTCTGTATGACTTTCGATGCTCATTATGTACTTTAAATTTGGTTATAAACTAGAGGTACTAACTTGCACATTTTATTTTAAATAAGCCTTTGAAAGCAGTAAAATACGTTTCAGTTTTGATGAAGAAGTTTCCCAGAAGACTCCTAGATACCAGTTTTTAAAAAAAAGAGATATTTTCTTCATAATCTATTCCTAGGTGACAGTGTTCTGGTGTTTGTATACATGTATTTTTTGTATTACAGAGAAAGAAAAGGAAGATCCTCTGAAGAATACAGGTCACCAGAGCAAAAGTAGGACAACAGATCAATAACTTACACCACTTCAACTTTTCTTTCTCTTCAAGTTTCTATTTTTATCCAAATACTGACAAGGAATTAACCATTGTAAGACAAGCTACAGTCTTCATTCTTTGTTATTTGGTCAATAATTTCCTAAATCAATAGAGAATAGGCATGCCTATGAATGCTCATTTGTAACTAATAAATAATTGAATTTAAATCCAAATTTTGATTTAAAATGGATATAACTTCAATCTATTAGTTTGAATACAGTGAGACACTCAAGTAAGTTACTTACCTTTCTCTCACACTAGAAGCGCGCTGTGGTTGTTTTTCTAATTAGATGGTTATCCATATTCTCATACAAGAAAGACAACTTATTACATAGGTAGAAAAACAAATTTCTTGATCAGTTCGATAATAACTAAGGCCTGCAATACCATTTACAAGCACACATAACAACCACCTTTGACTTTGTATAAGTTATTCTACTGGGGTTTACTATCATATATCAGGAATGCTTCAGGAGCATCAGATTTTTAGGCGCTTTGTCAACTTTATATGTGCAGAATCTTTGAATAGGTTTTTGCCAATAGTTTTTTGTTTTAGTTTAAAGACTACAGAAGTGGTCAAAGCTCTCCTGAAGGGAGTTAGACTTTCGAGTGAGTAAAAGTAATTATTTAATTTTGTTTTCATTTTATTTTAGATTATTGCAAATAACAGTTTTTGATGGATGGAATTGGAGATTTTGGCATTAAAATAAAGTAAGTGTACTGTGAAATTTCTCTTTTTCTTTATTTTCATTACAATTTGTGGAGGTTATTTTGTTTTGTATTTATTTACATTAGAAGATGTGAAAACTTTTAATAAAGGTCTCTTCATATCTCTCACGCAATTCTACACACTCACAGGAAACCATATTCTGTTGTAGTGCATTTTGCTGTATTGTAGTGTATTTCTTATATTGTATTGGATACGTTAATTTTAAAATAAATATTTTTCCTCCATATATTTGTCTCTAATTTCACATTCTGTATTAACAGCTCACCCCAGTGTACGATATTTGAAAAAAAATGTGTATTTTTTCTCTTTTTAGCTAAGGAAAATGAACAATTAAGTTCACCAAAAGTTGTAATTTTTTTACTCTTGCCCATTTTGGTGAATGTATTGTGTTCTGCGTGTAATTAAACTCGATGTGATATGCTGCAACTTTGTTCT